TTTTTCAAATCAAATGCTATTAAAATTCGTTTTAAACCAATTTAGTATGAAAGATTCAAAGAACTCACCGGAGGAGATGGCGGGTTCAAAATGGACAACCTTTTTTCGGTTCGAGGCTCTCGAAGAGGTTGATGGAAGAGGTTGATGGGAGAGTATCTGCACAAAAAAATGCTCATCTTCGATGGATGGAGAGGAGAGAAAATAATGGTGAAAAACATGATGTAGAGAGAGAAATGAAGAAAGAACGGTGAAGAGAAGAATAAAAGTGGGATTGCCTGTCCGTCATCTGCACCAGGCACAACTCAGGTTTTGACAAAAAATTGTTATCGAAATGCATTGCAATGTGTGACCTTATTTTCGATTTTAAGATAGAAGGTCTCTAAAGAATAAAAGATAGCTTCTCAAATAGAGCTACTGTCAATGCTCTTAGGGGCAAGCTTGACATATGCGTTTGTTTCTTTTATTTTTTTTTTCCTTAAATTAAATTATAAATATAAATTTAAATTTTTATAATAATTATAATTTAATAAAAATATATACAATATATATGTTATTTTGTAGAGAATAAATTTTTTGATAATACAAATAAATAAAAGTTTAGAAATATATGTGTAGATATAATATAGATTTATAATCAAATTATACAAATTGATACACATTTATATTATTATATTAATTATCATCAAATTAATACACATAAAAATTCTCCAAACCCAACTCAAACCTAAAACAAAAGAAATACATAAATTCAAACTTACCTCAAAATTAAAATAAAAATCGAACTCAAACTCAAATTTTCTCAAACTCCGTACAGAAATACACCCTATGTAACTATTTCACAAAGTCAGCTAAATTTTCTCAAATCCCCTAAAGAAAGACGCCCTATATAACTATTTCACAAAGTGGCTAATTATCACTCGTGCATGTACAATGGAAACAAACAAAGAGCTCTCGTCGTACACATTTCAATGACGTGTTCAAGCTTTGACAAATCATTATCCTTTAAATTGCACAATAGTTTTTACCGAAAAAACTGGTTGTTTTACAGAAAAAATAAAATAGAAGAAATAAATTGTATCAGATTCGCCTAACCTTGGCTTTCACTTCACCACACTGCGCCCAAGCTTGCTTGCGGAAAAAGCCTCCATATATAATTCATTGTGTACTAAAATTTGAATGTGATGGCTTCCGAAAAACATCCATTGTATATGCTCACACAGGATAGCCAAGTTTTGAACTGGCTGGAGAAAAACACATATATATATATATATATATTGAAAGAAATTGCGAAATGGTTATATTAAGGGGGTGTTTGGCAAATAGTTTTTTTAAAAATCTTTTAGCTTATTTAACAACTTTTAGTTGTACGATCGGTTAAAAAGCTAATTTAAGTGTTTGGTAAATTAGTTTTTTGAAATAACTTATTGCCCTTAAAAAACTAATTTCATAGCGTTTTGGAAGAGTTTTTTCACTTCAATTTTCTTTATTCTTTATTTGCCCTTAAAATGTCATTATTTATTTTACATACGTATAAATATATTTTCTACTGCAATAATTATAAATTATTTTAATATATTATTTATTAAATTATAGTTTTGTTTTTATAAATTTAAATTGATTAATTTTTATATATAATTAATTTTATTTGTAAAGTATAATATTAATTAAAATAAAATTAAAAATAAAAACATAAATATTATTATTTTATTTTTATATTAAAATTAAATAAAATAGAATAAATTTATTAAAAATTATAAATATAATCAATTAATCAATAATTAATATAATAAATATATATACAAAAATTTTATTATTTTATATTTTACATCATTTTTAATAAAATAAACATTCATATTTCTTAATAAAAATATATACTACTATTATTTTTCTCACATCTAAAATTAATAAAAAAAATATTTAATAACATATTCGTAATTTCAAATAACTAATAACTAAAAATTTAAAATTTTTAAAACTAAAAAAACACAATTAAAAAATTTTAAAAATTAGAATATAAATGTCCTATTACGAAGTAGACACGTAGAATACACATTCATGTGATGTAGGAGATACGTGGATACTTTTCTATTCAATCAATATGAAATTTCATGTGCCTATATATATAAGTGAATTGTGAAATGAACTGGACACGAATAACATTCAAAATTCTTTTTCTGTTCGATTTTGCATCAAATAAGTTTATTATTTCTATCATTATTACATCTACTCACTTATGTATCTATATATAATAATAATAATAATAATAATAATAATAATAATAACAATAACCCGCTGCATATTCACACACATATATATCTTTACTTATATATATACACGGCATATCTTTCGCATTATATATATATAAATATATACATACATATATTTAATATCCTTCAAAGCCGTATACATATATCTATGTACTTACCAATGCATTATTATATTATTATTATATAACATGTTATTTTATATATAAACAACTAATATCAAATAGTTATTTTATCGTATACTCTAATATAAATAGCTAATTGAAATGGTTAGTCAAACAACTAATTGAATCAATTAAACACTAATAGCTAATTTAATCAGCTACCAACTAAAAAAACTGTCACTGATTCTCAAACACACCCTAAATATTAGGGGTGAGCATTCGGATTTTCAGTTCGGATTGCCAAATCCGAACCGATCCGAAAATTCGAAATTTTTGATAAAACCAATCTGAACCGAACCGAAATAACCGAAATTCGAAATCCGAAAATCCGTAATCCGAACTAAAAAATCCGAACCAAACCGAAAAATTCGAAATTCTAAATATTTTTATTTTTATTTTTTAATTGTTTTATATTTTTTTATTATTTTATAATATTAAATATATATAATATATAAAAATTAAATATATTAAAATATAATTAATAAATTTGAGTTTTTTATATTAAAATATAATATTTCTAATAAAATATTAAAGATGTATAATAAAAAAATATATTAAAATATTATATTTCGGATTTCGAATTTTAAATCCGATCAAATTCGAAAATTCAAAATTTGTTAAAAATTCAATCCGATTCAATCTGAAAATTCAAAAAATCCGAACTAAATTTTAAATTTCGGTTTAATTCGAATTGAATTTTTGAATTTAGAATATTTTTTTGGACCCTGCTAAATAGCCTATGTGTTGGTTGGTGTACTGGCCATATTGGCCCACCCAGAAAAAAAGGATAAAGAGTGAAGATCGGACAATTAGGCCTTATACTGGAGATGGGTAATTTCGGTATTTGATTTTCAACAAGAGGTCAAAGATCACATAATTCAATACCAGGACATTTCTTAATTAAAACTCTAACTAATAATAGGAAAGCATTCCTAACAGACGTAAAAATAAAAATAAAAATAAAAACATTCCTAACAGACCTAAATCATTGGAATTACAGAGTTTTTTTTTTTTTTTTTAATACTATATTTTAAATTTATATTTGGATATTTACGAATTTAGGAATAAAGTAAATATGAATAGATATATGTTGTGCGCAAGTGCAGCTCAGTGATTTGAAGCCCACACCAATGGCGTCCATATCATTACCCAATTCTAGAGTGGCGCAATTCAACAATTTGGAGTCCTGCTCGAGCATGGCGGAGCTGAAGCAGCGCCACGCTCGTATCGTCAGGCTCGGTCTCTCCTCCGACAATGACGCCATGGGCCGCGTTATCAAATTCTGCTCGCTCTCAAAATCAGGGGATTTGGATTATGCCCTCAAGGTGTTCGATACATTGCCCCACCCAGATGCTTTCATATTTAACACTATCTTCAGAGGGTATTTGCAGGAACAGATGTATAGACGCTGCATTATCTTGTACGCCAAGATGCTGGATAGTTCGTGGCTCCGAATAAATTTTCGTTTCCTCCTGTTATACGAGCCTGTTGCGTCGATTTAGCGGTTAAAGAAGGGAAGCAATTGCATGCTCAGGTGATTAAATTTGGATTTGGTCAGGATTCTTTTTGTCAGAACAATTTGATTCATATGTACGTGTACTTTGATTTCTTGGAGGAAGGGAGGAGGGTGTTTGATAATTTGGAAAACAAGGACGATGTTTCTTGGACTACATTGATCAGTGGTTATTCAAGCCAGGGATTTTTTTGGTGAGGCTCTCTGACATTTTCGAGTCATTGCCGGTGAAAAATTCGGCAGCTTGGAATGCTGTGATAGCCGCCTCTGTGCAGAACAACAGGTTTCATGAGGCCATTAGTATGTTCGATACGATGAGAACTGAAAATGTGTCAGATTGATAAGTTTGTGGCCACGAGCATGCTGTAAGCTTGTACAGGGCTTGGCACGTCGAAGCGGGGCGAATGGATACACGAGTATATTATTAGTACCGGGATTGAAGTGGATGCTAAATTTGCTACAACAATTATCAATATGTTTTGTAAGTGTGGATGTGGGGATAAAGCTTTCGAAGTATTCAATGGCTTGTCTTGTAAAGGCATTTCATCTTGCAATTGTATGATTGGCGGTTTAGCAATGCACGGTAAAGGCAAGGCTGCGATTGACCTGTTTACGAAAATGGAGGTAGCTTCAGTGAGGCCTGATTACGTCACGTTTGTGAATGTGTTAAGCGCGTGTGCACATTCAGGATTAGTTGAGGAAGGGAGGTTTTATTTTTCTTACATCCCTGAAGATTATGGCATTGTTCCGGGAATTGAGCATTCTCGTTGCTTTATGGATTTGCTCGGGAGGGCAGGTTTGCTAGTCGAAGCGAGGAAAGTTATAGATAAGGTCACGGGTTTTTCCGTTGTTTAAAACTAAACCTGGCGAAACCATTCGAATTACAAAGAACCTGCGCGTCTGCAAAGACTGCCATCAAGCGAGCAAGCTGATTTCAAAGGCCTTCGACAGGGAAATCATTGTGAGGGATAGGAACAGGTTTTACCATTTCGAAGGAGGATTATGCTCGTGTAACGATTATTGGTGAACGATCTTTTGTTCTTGCTGAAAAGCGGTAACTGAAGGAGAAGACAACTATAGTGATTATGAATTCGCATAATTTCTTTCGGTATAACATTTGTTGTCGTTGGCTTCAATTTGCTGCTTTGACAGTGTAATAAGTCTGGATAAAAGTGAGGCAGAGCAGAAAGGTTGCGGCGAAGAGAGCAATGGCACTCCACGGGCTATGGAAGTAGTTGTGGATGAGCTCTGCTACCCATGTCTTGGCGCGGCTGTTACAATGCTCGTCGAGCTGCTTCTTCACATATGCGAAGCTATCGCAGTCGTCAATCCCATACGTCCGTATCTCTTTGAATGCTTCGACCACTTCCTTATCGCTCCCCAAGTCGCTAAACAGTATCCCCTTTTCGCGCAGCACCTTGACATCCTCAGGACTCTCGAGCAGCGACTTCATGAAGTTAACATAAGATGTTACTGCCAAATCATCCGAAGAAGACATTTCGAATGCAATCAGATTGCAGAAGAACGACTTGGAATGCTCGGAGATGATGTCGATTGGAAGCCGGAGCATTCCATAGCACCAATGGGAAGTGAAGAGGATGTCCTTATAGCAGGTAGAGCTCGGGCCGAAGTAGATTCCCTTTCGTTGCAGGTATGTCACGGATCGAAATGGAAGGTTTATGTATCGGTAAAGAGTTCGAATGCTGTAGGTTCTGCTGCTGTAGCTATCGGTGCTGGTGAGTGTCGATAATTTGTTCGGAGATTCTCGTTGAAGCAGAGTAATTCGATATGCTTCAAGAAGATGCAGGGGTTGATGCTGATGCAGTTGTTCCTCGTCGTCGTTGTCATTTTCTTTCCATGGAAGTCGGGTGAGGTTGCGCGAACTTCCTAAGCATAATAAGCTCAAATGCTGGCAGATATAGGCGTCGGCTTCTTCTTCGCCGAATCGGAGATTGAGGAGACGGTTAACGACCCAAAACGGGATCTGATTTTCGAGGAGGAGTAAGTCTTGTGTGGCGTAGACGGTCATGGGATTGCCGAGGTGGGTTCGGATCAAATCGGGAAGCGAAAAGGGGTCGGCGATGCAGGTGGCGACGAAGCAGGCATCGCGGAGGATGATCTCGGAGAGGGATTCGTCGTCGAAGGAGTCAACTGCGGCGCGATCGTAATGGCCCCTGATTTCGGATATGCATTTGAGGATCTGATTGTGGAAGAAGCGTTTGTCTTTGGTTTCGTCGGCAGCGACGCTGTCGGAGACGAATGTGTGGAGCATGTGGTCCTTGAGGGCCTCGGCGCGGCGGAGATCGGGCTTGCCGTGGTGGTAGGGGCCGAGGGAGAGGGCGACTGGGTCGAACATGCGGCGGTTGTTGGTGTCGCTGCGGAGGTGCGGCGAGACTCTGTGGATAATGCGGCTATGGAGGCGTCGGGAATCTGATGATGCTGGTGGAATGTCGATTTTTATGTTGTCTGAAGGAGATTCTGCGCTGCTTTTGGTGGTGGTGGCAGTGGTGGTGGTGTCGTCGTCGTCTTCCATTGATGTACGGACGAGAGTGGGAGTAGAGAGCTGGACTTCTTCAGACATGATGAGTGTGAATTATGTGTGAATGCAATGCAGTTCACCAACGGATATAATTCTATATATATATATATATAATATGTATGTATATGCGTGTGTATGCATGTTCTTTGTTCAATTAGGGCGGCTGAGTCGTCTTCCAATTGCTTTTCTTTTATAGCAATATTTTATGTCCAAATTGTAAGATGAGACAGGTAGTGTTAAAATTACGATGGCTATGCGACCCTACTTCTACTTGCTTTACTTAAGTCGATTTTGATTTTGGAGTATTATAGATATTTTTTAAGATGCTTCAGGGAAATCTCATGGGTTTGTTTCTTTTTATTTAATTTGAAAATTGTTTATTTAAATTTAGTATTAAAATAATATTTGATAAGATATTTTAAAAATATATATATATATAATTCAAATAATAAAAAATTAAAGTTTGATTCCTATATATCCGTTTCAGAGAGGTCTTAGAGTTTAAACTGACTTGAAGCAAATATTATTCTCTAATTAATTACTTTTTCTGTTATTAATAACGTTAAAAATGAAACTAAAAGTAAATTTTATTAAATTTTATTCTTAAAATTCACATTGATTTATCGGTGTCCGTTACAAATATATATATATATATATTGCTCCTTATTATTATTATTATACACAAAAATTTATATAATTTATAAATATTTCAAGAGTAACTGCTTTAAATAAATATCAATATATTGTTGACTTGTACTTTTTTATTATTATTATTATTGTAATAAATACTACATTCCGCAATGGCGCAATCACTTTCATTCAAACATTTTAAAATATCCAAAATTAAAACCAAAACACAAGAAAATGGATATTATTCTTGAAAAATCAAAGCACACAGGAGCAATCATATTATATACAAATTGGATACACCCGTTGTATGTATCTTATTCTCACGGGCAGCGGCGCATGCAACTTCAAATCTTTGGACCCATCTCCAAATTTGATTATTTTTTTACATTACCAAAACACACACACATATATATATATATATATATAGATAATTTATTTCTTGGGCGGATGAATAGTGAAGAAGGTCTGAACAACAGTGAGGCAGAGGACGAAAGTAGCAGCAATAAGAGCAGTGATCGTCCATGGACTACGCAAATAGTTATGGCTAAACTCGGCCATCCACGTCTTCCCCGTGCTCTTGCAATGCTCGTCGATGTCGCGGTTCACGTCGACGAAACTGTCGTAGTCGTCCAGCCCATAAGTCGGGATCCCTTCGAGCACCTTCACCACATCCTCGTCGTGCACCATTGTGCTAAACAGTATGAGCTTTTCGCGCAGCTCCTTCACATCCTTGGAAGTCTCGACCAGAGATTTCATGAAGTTTACGTAAGATGTCACCGTGAAGTCCGGCGGATTCCCCGGCGACATCTCGAGGGCGATCAGATTCGACAGGAAGCCTTTCGTGCTCCCCGTGATTATCCCCGTCGGGACCTCGAGCGTGCCGTAACATGAGCCCGAGTGGAACTTGAGGTCCCTTAGGCAACTCGTGCTCGGAGTGAAACGAATGCCCTTCGCCTTGAGGTACGTCACCGATCGAAATGGAAGGCTAACTTTCTTGAATGCACTCCCGACCCCTTTCTCTTGATCTTTCTTTGTTTTGAATATCTTAGCAAGACAATTAGATCGTTTTGCATCATCGGGTGCGGCTATATCGAAACGTTTAAGGAGCGCCGCTCGACCGGCTTCTAGAAGATGGAGCGGTTGAGGATCATTGACGTCCCAAGGTAGTTTCGTTAGATGTTGATCGTCGCCGAAGCATACGAAGCTCAAATGCTTGCAAACTAACTCCCCTGCTTTGTGTTCGCCTGTCGAAAGATATCGAATATGAATTAACAATGTTAAATGATGACCATCTGATCTAAACACTTACGCTAGACTGCAGATCCTGTGCTGATTTTACTGATTTGATCGGATCAACATATATCATATGAGTTACCAACATATACTTATATATACCTTAGCATATGCTAAGTTATAATATAATATATATATTGTATTATAAATGTATGTATGAATACACTGTGATCACCTTTATAATATATATTGCTTCTGTTAAATCAGCACTATGCTGACTTGACCAGATCGACAGTTGAATCCATGCCTAAAAACTTTACATTAAATAGATACATATTATTTATTTATTCATATATCCGTCACATGTAAAGTGTGTGTATTCACTCCGACTCTGATATCATATTAAATGATCAATTCACTTAAAAACTTTTAGGTGAGGTGCTCATTTAACAAAGACAAACTAAAAACTCAAAAATTACTTCAAAAATACCGTCTCGGAGATCAATTAGGCGCGCGATCACCCATAACGGGATTTGATTCTCGAGCATACGGACATCGTGGCCAATGAAAACCGTCGTCGCCATGCCAAGATGATCGCGGACAGTGTCGACGATGAGCTTGATGTCCTCCATGTACGTTATGAGAAAACAGGCGTCGCGAAGAATGATCTCGGCCAAGACCTCGTCTTCATTTACGACTCCCTCTCTTTCGTAGTTGTCCCTCACCTCATCTATTTTCTCGAGTATCGCCTTATAGAAGAAGCCTCGATTCTTCGACGGCGACTTGGCGATGCTCTCTTCGACGAATCTGCCGAGCAAATTCTCCTTGATTCTCTCCATATGGCGAAACTCCGGCTTGCCGTAGTGGTAGGGGCCGAGCGAGAGCACCACCGGATCGTAGAGGCGCTCGTTGTTGCCGCGGAGATACGGCAGCACGCGGTGGATACGCCGCCCGCTCGGGCGGAATCCGGCGGGTTCAGGGTGGTTAATATCCAGACGATAGTCTTCATTAGTAGGAGGTTCTTGCAAACCTGAGATGTTGACGTCCGTCATGATTGATGAATATATGTATATATATATATATATGCACATGCATGTATGTATTAGAAAGCAATGATTATTTTATTATGCTGTGTTGATTGGTTGTATATAATATATTAAAGGAAGAAGTGTTTGGACGATGAGGTAAGTAATTGTAGAGTTTAATTATTCTTATTCTTGATATTCTTGCCTTGTACGAAGAAGACATTAATGACTTTGCTACATTCTCAAGAACAGACGGGGGTAAAGTATTAATTCTTTATCATTTTGTACTCTCTCTAAATTCCCTTCGGTGAACAAGTTGTTTCGTGATTTATAAACACATTGTTTCTTTTATCCAAACTTCACATTATTTTACTATTTAGACTCAATTATTTTTTTTTAAAAAATATATATATTTTTACCATATATTTCATCAAATATTTTAATATTAAATTTAAACTATTTTTTTTTTTCGAAACCAATAAAGAAAAACACACTGAATTATTGTTCCAAACTTAAAGTATTTTATTATTATTTTTATTTGTATCAATCAAAAATTGGAATAATTTGGTCAAATACAGAAACAAGAGACCATGTGACCACTCTCCTCAGCCATACAGAACGGATTCATTTGGATCATTATTTTTAGTTTTTCAATTATTTTTTTCATTTTTTTTAAAGCATATTATGTAGGGTCTATCTAGGATCATTTAGACCGTCTCGTTAAAATTCAAAATATATTTTTGAATTTTATTTTTATTATTAATTTACCATCAACAATTATAAAATTCTAAAAAATACTTTGGATGAAAGGGAGTATTAAAATTTCTTTAATTTTGACATATACAATTGATTTATAATATATATAAAATAAAGGGAGAGTTGGATTTAAATCCATGTCAGATAAATTCACTTACAATTCAGTCCCCATTAAAAATGAATTAGTCTGTACTCCCTACTTTATGAATTATGTATGTTATGGCTCCCTATTTGTATTTATTCCTCAATTATTGTTGTATACGCAATAAGTACTCGAAATAAATTGATCAATACTTCCAATATTGTAATATATACCTATATTACTTCTCGCTCTACCTCCATTATAATCATATATACTTCTAGTTAAATATCGCGTACTTTTTTTGCGAATTAAAAAAAAAAATGAAAAAGAAAAAGATATTTACCCACGATTTAACAGGGGTTGATGAAGAAAATCTCTTATAGATTCTCTTACCCCAATTATAAACCCTACCTCTCTCTTCTTCAGACAAATCGATACTCTTCAACCCTTGGCAATCAAGTAGCGATTGGTTGGTGCTAAAATGCTGAAGAAAACAGTTGATCGCTCCCATCCCCGAGACAAGCTTGAAAAAGTAAGTTCCTGACTGGACTTTTTTCGATTTTTTATTTTGTTGATACTAATATTTTATACTATAGTTTGTTCGATTGTTTGGGGTGTAACTCTTGGTCTTGTGTTTGTATGTCTCGGTTCGGTGTTGAGGAGCCCTGTGTGATCGATGTAGTTGTGTTTGTTAAACAGGTTTAAAATTGTTCGTATATTTGCCCACGTAGACCGGGTTGAATTTTTAATTTTGGCACCGATATTTGGTGATTTTATTTGTTTAATATGTATTTTTTTTTGTTAATTTTATAGATGTACATTTTGTTTAGTTACCCGTAGTTGCATATTTTAGTTTTTTTCTTTGATTGTTCGATAATTAGTCATGGTTGTGGGTTGACAAATGTGGTATTATTAAGTACCCCGACTTGCAGTTTTAGGTCTAGTTTGCTAAGTAATATACTTTTAGGGACTAATGTATACTCGACATCTGTTGTTACGTACTCCTGATAGATTATGATAAACTTTTAAAAATTTTCAGATTTGGGTAATGTACTAATGATATTTATTTACAGATCGTAGGTCGGATTGTGCTTGTTGTTCAATTCATAATGCGATCCGTTCGGGCAAGGGAACACGGAGAAATTGGTACGTTTACGAAATAAATATAATTAATTTATCATGGATAAACTGAATTACGTAATAAAATATTATGTTATTTTTACAATCGTGATTTTTATGCTTGTACCTGAACGCAATATACCTATGACCCATGGTAAGGGAGATGCCTGAGTACGTAAGATGTCGGAATCAAGGTGATACTCTCGAATGTGGTCTTTTGGTCTGCATGTTCGACAAGTGTTACGCTCATATGAATCTGGCAGTCCATCCCATTGGTGGGATCGACAGTGAGTTTGATAATGTGAAGAACTACCATAGTAAAATTTTGGTCAAAATAATGAAAGGTTTGCTCTCCGAATCATAGACTCTGGTGAACAACACAGGGTAAGTGAACATCTGTAATGAATTTAGATGGATTTTGGATTGATTTGGGTTGTGTTATTTGTACTTGATTTGGTTAATGTGTTATTTTCTAATTGAATTGTTGGTTAAATTGGTTTGATTTGCCTCATGTTTGATCAGATTGTATTAAGATTGATAGATTGATTGAATTGTAGGTTGAATTTGGTAAAACTTAATGTTTAGAGTAATGTTATGAATTGTGCCATAAATGATTGTATGATTAATTGTTCACATGGTTAGAATTACAATAATGCAAACGTTGTACCTCCACAATGGATCGATGTACCCGTCTAACTAGATCGAAATACCTTCAAACTACATACATATGCTCACATAAATGTTACCCATTTGTTAGGATTGTTATCCTTGTACGAAGACAACAACCAACCAGAAAAGTTATGCATATGAATTTTAAATTGGAATTAACTAATTCGTTACAAGACCTTGCAATGGTTAAAGTAATGTTTGCAATGAACAAAAGTGCATTCACGGATACTTAAGTACATTAATGTTGTACTAAGAAAGAAAATTATATACATGTGTTGCGAAGGTTTATGCTCTTCCAGTCGCTGTCATTTCTCTCAACCACCAATGAAGTGAAGAATTGCTAATAGAAGAAATATTTTCACCAAGTTCCTTAATTGTCTTATCCGTCAAGAGATTGACTGAAGTCGACCACATTCAAAGATACCTGCTATTACATAAATACTACCTAAGCAACCATCAATCATACCTTGATTGTCAATGCTCGTACCCAGAACACATATTTATATACCTTCATTAAATATAAACTACCCTTAAGTAGTTTTTACTTACATATAATACGATTTCATATGCTCTAATAACGAGTATTTATGCGCTGGTAACTTGTGCTTGAAAACCGATCATTCTCAATTTGAAACATTCAATTGTGTCAGTAACCATGGATGAATTCATCATTATAGTTTCTCGCGAATCCTAGAACTATATGTAAAGGTAAACAACACATATTTACTACAGATGGATAAACAAGACATAAAATACTTAATTAAATTATGTTGGTTGTTATTCATACATGCTTTGTTGTCTTCCTATTGAAAAATATGGCATGAGTTGTTGAATATAAATGTACCATGCCCAAACTTTTCCATCAGAGTTAGAGGAATACTCTCATCAAGTTCGTGAATTGGCTCATCCGTCAAATGATTGACTGAAATTAATTACATTCAAGGATACTTAAGTAACTATCATTCATACCTTGAATGTTGGTGTTTGTATCTGAAGCACATACTTACATACTTGCATCAAATGCATACATACCCTTGCGCAAATCTTATATACCTATATTTTGGTGTCATATGCTTCAATAACGAGTATATATATCCTGGTTATTTGTGCTTGGGAATCGACCATTCTCAGTTCAAAAGATTCACTTGTTGTCGGTAACCATTGATGAATTCATCATAATAGTGTTCCCACGACACTATGAATTGTATGAAAAATTAAATAACACATATTTACTATAGATGGATAAATAATTAAGAAATGACTTGAATAATTTATGTACAAGCATAGTCCAACATCTACTTAGATATCTAAACAAGTCATAAATGACTAAATTAAATTATGTTGGGTTGTTAGAGTATATGATTGCTGCCACAAATTGAAAATCTTTAAACCTATTACATAGTAGTCCACATTATACCACACACAACAATATTTGATCATAAGATATTTGCATAGGGTATGACTCCGCTAAGCAGACGAGTACTCCAGAGCCGCTCCAATATACCCTCATTTTGGTTTGGTGTACAAGAATCATACTAATTGTGTACCTATTGCATTCTTTAATGTAACAACTAAACTAAATTTAAAAAATATCTACTTCTTTATGGATAATATATTTTTAATGTATATATATACATTTCTAAAACTAATGTTATCTCGATAATTTTGTTTGAGAACTGAGATTCTAATTCTTTCCATATGGAATTGAATTTGCTCGATTAACTGAAAATTATATTCGCTTCAGGAGTTTGATGGTTCGGTTTGAATATTTAATAAATCTAATGTGTTAGAAAATTTATAATTTTAATATTTAAATTAATTAAATAATTTTAAAGTAACTTTTTAATATTTAAGATTTTAAATTAATTATAAAAATTTAAAGTAACTTTTTAATACAAATATCGTTACATATTTAATGGTCTTGCAATAAGACTTATCAGATATTCACATATTCAAATAAAAACTATTTAATAGTATTTTATAAAACGATAATTCAATTGAACAACCAAGTACTTCATCATTCCTCCGATGTACCCCATCTTTATTTTAATGTACTATTTTTTCCCAACATATGTACCTGAATTGTACTTTTAGGTACCTACATACTTTCAATGAATGTTTGTGAGGATTTACACAATGACCAAAAATACCGGTGATAGATTACGAAATAAAATAAGAGTTTATAATCATCTGCATATGGGTCTCTAAGGGACGCAAACAATATGACAATTACTTTCTCCTATTTTGATAATTAATTACCAAGACTATATTGAAATTGTTAATGTGGTAATAGCTATCACACCAACGTGCTTTGACATATCAACTACATACCCCCCAAATAATTTGTGCCTCAATTAAATTTCCAGAAACTTGTGTCATCAAATTATTATACATAAAACATGATTGTCGTATACCTTGTTTGTATTCATATATTATAGTACATCTAAGTTACAATTATAATTATACAACCAGACTCTTGTTGTTGTATAATCACCTACAACCAAACTCTTGTTGGGATCAAGGAACCTCAATGCAGCAAATGAAAATGATTTTTTTCCATTCGATTTTACAAATAGTACAAATCAACATATCGATCCAGCTTCAACTAATCCGCCCTGCAACCCAAAATATGGAGAGTTAAGCAAGATTAAGGTAAAATAATTTTTGAGAATAGAGATAAGATTCATTGGAAATTACTAGAAACTATGAAACCTTTTCAAGATACTTGCCACGACAAATAATAATATTATAGATGATAAAATTTGGAATAAATTTGTCTTACTCTATTTTTGAATGAAAAGTTTCAGTTTCTTGAACAATTCATAGTTGTCATATCTTTGTATCAATAAGATACAATATCTTATTTCAAACTCTTATAATAAAAATTTTTAAACATAGCACAAACCATCAAAATTATTCTATATGTACAATTCAATCATCACAATATTATAGTAATTACTATAAAGAGATATATCATTATACTCTAATGCGTATAAGAATTCTAAATATCAACTCACATAATCCAAAAATCAAATTGTAGGTGAAAATATTTGGAAAGGTGTGGTTCATAGGCATATCATAAAATTGACACATCTTTATTTTATAGTATTACACTAATCAACTTAAGAGCTCCAAAAGTACTTTCAGTCTTACAAATTCTATCTACTAAAAACCTATATAAAACAAATCATATCTCACACACAAAGAACATGACCTAGTTTAAACAATCAAAACAAAATAAAAAAAAAACTCACAATCAATCGAACATTATAATCAATAAATATTATGGCATTGAGTGTATAACGGTTGGTTGGAATCCTCAAATAGCATATATTTTTTAAAAGAGAAATGACAACCTAACACTCTCGACAATAATTTATGAAATTCCTTGGCGTTAGAACAAACTTTTTTCTGAGACATTTTATCGAACACATAAAGTGTATCATTCAAATATTTATTTCACTAATATACACATAGTATGAATCCAAAACAAAATAAACTATCTAAAATCATATATTCTTATCGAATTCTAGTATTGTAGTAATCCCCAATAGCAACAAATTACCCAATTTACAAAATAACAATTATGACCTCTTTCGCAAAATAGGAACAAAAACATCCGATAACAAAAAAAATCATTATCAAAATCACCCCAAAATTACCCACTTTACAAAACTCATACTTAATTTATAAATTCCTACTAGTTTAACACGCAACAATATTTTTCCCAAACTAGCAATTTTCTTACTAATCCAAACACGATTGATACAAATACTAACCTTGGAATTCCTCCTATTGAACCGCCAGATGTCGATTTCGAGATCGCCGGTGACAACCCTTGGAATTTCTCTGATCGATCTGTGTGACCCCCGACGACAGAGAACCGATTCGACTGGACAGAGAAACGGCCAAACAGTGAGAAAAGGGAGTGAAAAATCCGCCGGACGATGGAAGAAGAGAAAGGGAAATGAATCTTTCGCACTGCTGGAAACTGGGTAATCGGACGAGAGGCTGCTTCCGGCTTCACTGGAGAAGGCTCAATGGTTTCAGGAGAAATTTGCACGAAGAAAAACAACCAAAGAATGAGAGAAAGAGAAAAATCGAGGAAGATGGGATGAGAATGAAAAAGAAGGGAGTGCAGACAAAGAAATTAAAATTAGGGACTGAATCCCAAATCAATATTAGGCAGAGGGATTTTATTCAAATTCTCCGTAAAATAAAAGTTGCAAAAATGTTAAATTTTTTAGACATCCATTAATCAATAAAATATTATTTTAATATTTATAAAATTTCAAAAAATACTTTGGACCGAAGGGAGATAGTATATAATATATAAAAATATAATAAATATTTTCTTCATCCGATTACAAAGTAGACATTATTTGTTTTTGGCGTAAAATTTAAGAAATAATAATATTTTAATTATAGTAAGTAGTTAAAAATAATATAATAACATTTTTATTATTACATTTTGATGTAAAAATAATGATACGATATAAAGTAGAGTATTTGCAAATATATATTTAATCAAATGATTACTAGTTCAAGCCAAAATATAAATATGTATATTTTTTTATTGGATAAAAAAAATAATATACTATCTTCGTCTCATAACTATGTATCCGTTAATTTTTTACACGAAATTTTAGAAATATTAGTACTATATTGAGATGTAGTATAAATAAAACAGAAATGATTAAAATAACTTTATTAGTATAGTGTGATATAAAGTAATAATATTTGTGTAATATATTTTAAGTTGTAAGGGTATTTGTAATGTTAATAAATAGCACAATTATTTAAAAAAAATAAAAAACTATTAGTACAAACGGTCAAATCTATTTTATATCTATATTGTATATTTACTGACCTCTAAATTATTTTATGTAGCAACATATATTTACTTTATTTCAATTTTAACATACATTTTTTATTATTTTCTTGTCTAATTCAAATTGAAAAGTTTTTATTTTTATTCTAATAAAAATAATTTTATAATAATATCAAAATATTTTTAATTTTTACTTAAAATGCAAATATTTTTTTTTATATATAATTAATTTATATATAAAATCAAATAATAAAAATATTAAAACCTCGGCTACCATATCCCTAAATATACCTTTTAATGTGACATAAAAATTTAAAAGATGTATAATTAATAAATAATTAAAATATATTAATAAAAATAATTTTAAATTAATATTAAAATTACAGTGAAAAAGAGCAACCCCAAAAGAGAATGTTAAAAAAGGAGTGGAGGAGTAGTATTTTACACTTCCTCCTTCATATCGTGTCCAAGTCCGCACCACATGCTATGTCATTTTCTTTTTTTAGAAATTGATTATACACTTTAATTTTATTTTTAATTTTAATTAAACTAATTAATTATTTTAATTTTAATTTATAATTATTTTCACTAATATATTTTTAATTATCTACTAATTATATTCTTCCTAAAATATAATAAAGTAATTCAATTAAATAAGCTCATGAGGAGACAAGACTTGAGAGTGCATATTAGATAGCTGATAGCATAGCATAGCATAGATACAAGTGCAATCAATACGAGGGAGTAGTACTGTAACACATAGCATAGCATAGCATAGATACTGATACAGGCAGCAGGCAGCAGAAGGAAGGTTTAATAAGATGATGATTTAATAATATTTGTGTTATGCTCCATTGCCGTGAAGCAAGGCGTCGATCTGGTGGCCATCTTTGAGTCGAAGCTGATTAGGTGTCTTGTTGTGGGAGAACTGCCGGCGGTCGATCACGAACCGGGTGGTGTGATACTCGATGCTCTCCCGCCTGCAGTACTCCATCAACAGCTTCTTCATCCTCGACTTCCGATTCATCGAGAAATACACATCCTCCTTCCTCTGCAATCAATTCATTCATCACTCTCTTCATTACGAAATTATTAAACATATACCAACCGTATCACATCACATACGTCGTTGCAGGTCACGCTCAATTTCACGTAGTTTTGGGCCGGACGCAACGTGCGCTGCTGCTCGATGTCCACCTCACCTCCTTGTATCTCCACCTCCTCCTCCTCGTCTTCATCTTCTTCATCATCATCTTCTTCTTCTTCGTCTTCTTCTTCTTCTATCTCTACATCTCTCGCTCTCACTGTATCAGCCACAGCCATAGCTTCTGCCATGCTACCACCGACAGCAGCTTCAATTAAAAATAAAAATATTAAAAATGAATGAGAGTTTGTAGCCATACTATACCATACCACACCACAATGTTACTTACATGAAGAACAAGTGACGAATGAACCAGCAAACTTACAAGAGGAATTTTGGAATGAAGAAAAGAAGGAGATGGGAGGACTAAAAGCAACGAAAGCAATCTGTTCTGTTGCTATAATTATTATATTCCATGCTGCTGCTGATGCGATTTCTTGAAATCGGATTTGATTTGATTTGGTGCAGAAGAGCAGAGCAGCCGATCAGCGAAATGAAGAAAGCAAGCTTTTTTGAGGTGTGATAGACATAGTATATGTTACCGAGGAGGGGAGCAGAGCAGAGCAGACTAGAGCAAAGAAAGAAAGCGATCTGATACTATGATACTATTATTAAATAAACAGAGTACTATATATATACATATATATAATATATAGTCTACTACTACTTTTCATTATTACCAAGCAGAGGGAGCAATGGTAAGTAAATTAAAGCAAGAAACCGCAGTTCCTTACCTCCAATTAGACTTGCCAAATAAAAAAAACAACAAAAAACAAAGAAATTAGAGTTGCCAGTAGGTTTCGAACCCGCGGTTCGATTCTATTACACGTAGACTTGCCCTGCGGTTCGAACCGTGGTTTGTCGATTTTTGACCTTCTATTCTAGTTCAAACCGAAAACGTCAATCTAATTTTTAGGCCCGTTGGGAAGGATTGATTTTTAAAATCAACGGCAGCTTTGATTAAAATAGATCTGATCCGGTAGTTTGAAATTGAAACCGCTGGTTTGTTTTTTTTTAAGGGTGTGTTTGTTTGGGAGATTGGATTTTAAATTTCCTGTTCATTTTATTTTTTTTTCCCAAAAATATCAAATCAAACACTTATTTTTTATTTTTATATTATACTAAAAATCAATTTTACATTCAAACATCACATCAACATCAACACCTATTTATACCATATCATACAACTATTCAAATTCAAAATTTTTATTATTCAAATTCCAACTCAAAATCCAAACCCCCAAACAAACACACATACTAACTTAAATTTTAATATTGTAAATTTGTTATATAATATAATATTAGTAAGTATATTTATATATATCAAGTAATTATAAGGCAATATGTATATATACTAGTGCTCCTTCGCGTGCGTAGCGCGCATAGTATTGGTAGCGTTATTTTTTTTATATGTATAGTTGAAATTAATATAAGTTTCATTTAAACAATCTAAATATTAATGTTGAGTACAATAAATAATAATAATAATGATAATGGTAGCAGGGTTTTAAAGGAGGTTGGAGAAGATAAGGTCGGACAAAGAAGGATGAGACAGCCGATACGGAGGACGGTCAAAAGAGGAAGTCGGACGAAGAAGGATGACACGGATGACACGGACGTCGAACAAAAAGAAGACGGGCGAAGAAAGACGAGGGACGAGACGGAGGTCGGATGAAATAAGGTCGGGCGAAGAAAGATGAGATGGGCACACAAGGAGGTCGGGCGAAGAAGGATAAGACGGCCCACCCGGAGGTCAGACAAGTGAAAGGGCGGTCAGTTGGTCGCTTGATTGGGCGACCATTGAATCAGTTGGACGAATGGTTGTTCAACCGATTGAAGAAATATAATAAATTATATAAGTATATATTTTTAATATCTGTGCAACCAACCAATTTAAAAAAAAATATATTTTTCTTTGGATATTTTTTTTCTTATTTTATTAAGAAATTATTTTCTACAAAATAAATATATATACTGAATTAGTCGGATGAGAACCGTCCAGTAAGTAGTCGGTTGGTTGGAATAGAAAAATAAGAAAAAAATATTATATAAATATATATTTTTTATATCTGTACAACCAACCAATTTTAAAAAATATATATTTTTCTTTGGATATTTTTTATTTTATTAAAAATTTATTTTCTACAAAATGAATATATATACTGAATTGGTCAGATGACAAAGAGGATGAGAATCGTCCAGTAAGTAGTCGGTTGGTTGGAATAGAAAGAGGAGAGAAAAATATATAATAAATTATATAAATATATATTTTTTATATCTGTGCAACCAACCAATTTTAAAAAATATATATTTTTCTTTGGATATTTTTTTTTATTTTATTAAAAATTTATTTTCTATAAAATGAATATATATACTGAATTGATCGGATGACAAAGAGGAGGAGAACCGTCCAGTAAGTAGTCTGTTGGTTGGAATAGAAAGATGAGAGAAAAATATAGAATAAATTATATAAATATATATTTTTTATATCTATGCAACCAACTAATTTAAAAAAATATATATATTTTTCTTTGGATATTTTTTTTTCTATTTTACTAAAAAATTGTTTTCTACAAAATGAATATATATACTGAATTGGTCAGATGACAAAGAGGAGGAGAACCGTCCAGTAAGTAGTCGGTTGTAATAGAAAGATGAGAGAAAAATATATAATAAATTATATAAATATATATTTTTTATATCTGTGCAACCAACCAATTTTAAAAAATATATTTTTTTTGGATTTTTTTTTCTATTTTATTAAAAAATTATTTTCTACAAAATGAATATATATACTGAATTGGTCGGATGACAAAGAGGAGGAGAACCGTCCAGTAAGTAGTCGGTTGGTTGGAATAGAAAGAGGAGAAAAAAAATATATAATAAATTATATAATTATATATTTTTTATATCTGTGCAACTAACCAATTTTAAAATATATATATTTTTATTTGGATATTTTTTTTTCTATTTTATTAGAAAATTATTTTCAACAAAATGAATATATATACTGAATTGGCTGATACGGAGGTCGGCTGATCCAGAGGTCGGCTGAAAGGGAGGTCGGCTGATACGGAGGTCGGCTGATACAGAGGTCGGCTGATACAGAGGTCGGTTAATACGGAGGTCGGCTGATCCAGAGGTCGGCTGATACGGAGGTCGGCTGAAAGGGAGGTCGGCTGATCCAGAGGTCGGTTGAAAGGGAGATCGGCTGATACGGAGGTCGGCTGAAAGGGAGGTCGGCTGATCCAAAGGTTGGCTGATACAGAGGTCGGCTGATACGAAGGTCGGTTGAAAGAGAGGTCGGCTGATCCAGAGGTCGGCTGATACGGAGGTCGGCTGAAAGGGAGGTCGGCTGATACCGAGGTCGGCTGATTCGGAGGTCGGCTGATACGGAGGTCGGCTGAAAGGGAGGTCGGCTGATCCAGAGGTCGGCTGATACAAAGGTCGGTTACCATTTGAGACTGCCCCAAAATCGGATGCCTTCTGTTTCTGTAAGATCAGCCGTCCAGTCGGACTAATTTTTTTTTGTTTTGCGTGCCCAACAAATTCAAAAACCCCTGCATTAGTTTCTAATGCATTTTTTTTATATATTATAACATTAGAATATTGTAACTAAGTTATTGTATTAGAAAAAACGTTAAGATCTACAAAATGATATCCATATCAATATATTTTGTACAAGTAAATTACTATAAAATAGCAAATGGAATTGAAAAAACACAACTCTCAAGAACATCCAATATCAATAACCAAAAGTACAAAATATAAGCAAAATGACACTCTAGAACTTCGAAGCCTTGCATTTTTACAACCTAACACAACAAAGCTAATACACTAACAATAAATAAATAAAAAAATGGTAGAAAAGTCATATCATGTAGGCATTCGTACAACTACTCATATATATGTCTTTGATAATATAATAATATATGCAAATATTTAAAGTAAGGATGAGAGAATTGAATGCAAAATTATGAATTCATTAAACATTTGATCGACGTATTTATAGGTAGGAAACTTCAATAGGAAGGAAAAGCAGACATATATGCTACGTAGTTGCTTCGTGTAACTACGTATGTATTTCGTAACACTCCCCCTTGGATGTTTTTGTACAAAGAATGTGTCTTGTTAAAACCTTACTATGACAAAACTCTGTGGAAAAAAATCATAGTGAAGGAAAAAGAGTACATCATTCTTGTATTAATGTGCTCCCCCTCTTTTGGACTTTATTTCAGCCAATGCATTCCAATTTCTTGTATCAATTTGTTGAATGTTGCAGTCGGTAGCGCCTTCGTAAATAAGTCTGCAAAATTTTCAGAAGATCGAATTTGTTGCGCATCAATTTCACCACATTTCTGAAGATCATGAGTGAAAAATAACTTCGGAGATATGTGTTTTGTCCAATCGCCTTTAATATATCATCCCTTTAATTGAGCTATACAAGCTACATTATCTTCAAATAATATTGTAGGAGGTAATACATCATCAGAAATCAAGTCACAATTTTTCTGAATATGGTGAGTCATAGACCTCAACCAAACACATTCACGACTGGCTTCGTGAATTGCTAAAACCTCAGCATGGTTTGAAGAAGTAGCTGTTATTGTCTGTTTAGCAGATCTCCAAGATATTGCGGTTCCACCACAGGTAAATAAATAGTCAGTTTGAGATTTTTCTTTGTGTGGATCAGACAGATAATCAGCATCAGCATAACCAATTAATTCATTTCGAGATTCACTCGAATAAAATAAACCGAGGTCATGAGTTCCCTGAAGATAACGAAAAATGTGCTTGATACCATTCCAATGGCGCTTTGTGGGGGATGCGCTAAACCTGGCCAGTAGATTTACTGAAAAAGATATATCTGGCCTGGTACAATTTGCAAGGTACATTAATGCGCCAATAGCGCTCAGATATGGTACCTCGGGGCCAAGTATTTCTTCATTTTCTTCTCTTGGCCTAAATGGATCTTTACTGGGATCAAGGGATCTGATCACCATTGGTGTATTCAGAGAGTGAGATTTATCCATATAAAATTGTTTTAATACCTTCTGGGTATATGTGAATTGATGGATAAATATTCCATTGTTCACATGATCCACTTGTAATCCCAGATAATATTTTGTCTTTCCAAAATCTTTTATCTCAAATTCTTTCTTAGATATTCAACTGCAGTTTGGATCTCTTCAAGAGTTCCAATTAAATTGAGATCATCAACATATATAGCAATAATGACAAAATTTGATCAATTTTTCTTTATAAAGACGCATTGGCATATTGGATCATTAGTATAACCTTCTTTTATTAAACATTCGCTCAGACGGTTATATCATATTCGCCTTATTGTTTAAGTCTATACAATGACTTTTTCAGTTTGATGGAATATGATTCCCCTGGGTTTAATTTGTATGCTTCAGGCATATTGAATCCCTCAGGAACCTTCATATAGATATCAGTATCCAAGGAGCCATAAAGATATGCAGTAACTACGTCTAAAAGAAGCATATCGAGATTTTCTCGC